AGTATCTTAGTTCCTAAATTTTTATTTAAAGTAACGGTGTTCTTTGGTTAACTTTGTTTGCTTGGCGTTAGTTGTTGAATTCAGATTACTCACGAAAGATAGAAGGTTATACGAACAGAATATTGCTTATCAAAAATAAAACTAATATTTGTAGATTCAGGTTCGTGAACAGAGTATGAGTTTCCGAAAATTTACAAGCTTTTGAATTTGCACCATTTGAGAACATTCATATCTGTGAAGACGACGACATTAATAATGGTGATTCTAGAAAACATCACTTTATTTGCAGACAATGTGAAAAAAGTCATTGCGAAATTAATAATAATTAGCCCTCAGGCTCCTTTCTGCATCTTACGATCTAACTAGTGATTCGTCTTGCAGCTTTGCAACGGAGCCTGAAGAACTACAACCTCTCTACCCATTCTGTAAACGACACCAAATGTAGTGAATGCGGACTGATGTGGGGGAAACCAATTTATTGTTTGACGCAACATTACGGAGAGTTTTCTCAAAATATGGAAATCATACAATAAATACTTCATTTGCATATCTTCCTTCAGTAGTCGTATATACACCTCATGGTGGTTCCAATTTTGTTGTTATTTCAAGATTTTTATTTTTCCCTTCTTGTTCCTCTCAATCCAAACTTCTGTTGGTGGGCACGCGATGTTTGACTGGTGCTCCATGCTAGTTATATCTGTCAGCATAATTAGCATATACCACACATAGGTTCCGATTCACCTCGCCAAAATACAGCAAAAATATTTCTAATACCAACTCCGCCTGTAGCTCCTCTGGGGGTTACTGCCGGTCCCGAGCCCGGGTAAAGGAGGAGGGTTGGGCATGGGGTTAGCGACCCCATCCCGTAGAAAATCAACTCGCCAAAAATCGCTAACCAGAAAAAATCATTCAAACCATTTAAACTCTGCCCTGGGAGTAGAAGGAATAATTATGACGTCTCATGATGAAAGTTGAGTTCATTCGGAAGTCATGAGGCCGATGCACCTTCTTACAACCAGAGCAGCAATTTTTATAGGTACATGGAATGTCCGGACAATGTGGGAGACCGGAAGAGCCTTCCAAATTGCTGCAGAAATGAGAAAATACAACCTGGAGGTGCTTGGAATCAGTGAAACACATTGGACGCAGGTTGGACAACAACGACTGTCTTCAGGAGAACTTCTGTTATACTCCGGTCATGAAGAAGAAAATGCCCCACATACACAAGGAGTTGCATTGATGCTGTCCAGAAAAGCACAAAATGCACTTATAGAATGGGAATCTCATGGACCAAGGATCATCAAAGCCTCCTTCAGAACAAAGAGAGAGGGCATTACAATGAACGTCATCCAATGCTATGCGCCGACCAACAACTACGATGAAGACGCTAAAAACCAATTCTACGATAGGCTGCAGTCGATCTTCGAGAAGTGCCCAACCAAGGACCTGACCATTCTGATGGGAGATCTCAATGCCAAGATTGGAAAGGACAACACTGGATACGAAGACTTCATGGGACAACATGGACTGGGAGAAAGGAACGAAAATGGTGAGAGATTTGCAAACCTATGTGCCTTCAATAAACTGGTCATAGGTGGCACCTTATTTCCACATAAAAACATACACAAAGCCACTTGGATTTCACCGGATCACACTACACAGAATCAAATCCACCATATCTGCATCAACAAAAAGTTCAGGAGGACGATGGAGGATGTGAGAACCAGAAGAGGAGCTGATATAGCATCCGATCACCATTTGCTGGTCGCCAAGATGAAACTAAAACTCAAGAAGCACTGGAAAACGGTGCCGACAACATCACAAAAGTTTAATACAGCCTTTCTTCGAGATGCTGACAAACTCAACAAATTCAACATAGCTCTCAGCAACAGGTTCCAGGCCTTTCATGATCTACTCAATGGAGAGGGGACTACCATAGAGAGCAACTGGAAAGGTATCAAGGAGGCAATCGTTTCAACATGTCAGGAGGTTCTGGGCCAAAAGAAGCACCATCACAAGAAATGGATCACTGTTGGTACACTGGATAAAATTGAAGAAAGGAGGAACAAGAAGGCAGCAATCAATATCAGCCGAACAAGAGCGGAAAAAGCCAAGGCACAAGCTGAATACACAGAGGCAAACAAGCAAGTGAAGAGGAGCATCAGAACCGACAAACGTAAACATGTTGAAGATTTAGCGATGACAGCGGAAAAGGCTGCAAGAGAGGGAAACATGAGACAACTGTATGATACAACAAAGAAACTTGCTGGAAATTACCGTAAGCCAGAAAGACCAGTGAAAAGCAAAGAAGGCAAAGTAATCACCGACATTGAAGAACAACGAAACAGGTGGGAAGAACACTTCAAAGAACTCTTAAATCGACCAGCTCCACTGAACCCACCCAACATCGAAGCAGCACCCACAGACCTCCCAATCGATGTTGGCCCACCAACAATTGAAGAGATCAGCATGGCCATTAGACAAATCAAGAGCGGCAATGCAGCGGGACCAGACAACATCCCGGCAGAGGCACTGAAAGCAAATGTAGTAGCAACTGCCAAGATACTCCACATCCTCTTCAGTAAGATTTGGGACAAAGAACAAGTTCCAACAGACTGGAAAAAAGGACTTCTGATCAAGATACCAAAGAAAGGCGATCTGAGCAAGTGCGACAACTACAGGGGCATCACTCTCCTCTCAATATCAGGAAAAGTCTTCAACAGGGTATTGTTAAACAGGATGAATGATTCCGTGGACGCCCAACTTCGAGATCAACAAGCTGGATTTCGTAAGGATAGATCGTGCACAGATCAAATCGCAACTCTACGTATCATTGTGGAACAATCAATCGAATGGAATTCATCACTCTACATCAACTTCATCGACAACGAGAAGGCATTTCATACGGAACTCCTATGATGGACTAAACTGCCAAATCGTCCACGGAGGACAACTCACCGACTCATTCGAGGTAAAGACCGGTGTTAAGCAAGGTTGCTTACTCTCACCGTTTCTCTTTCTCCTGGTGATCGACTGGATCATGAAGACGTCAACGACTGAAGGAAAGCACGGGATACAGTGGACAGGCAGGATGCAACTTGACGATCTAGACTTCGCGGATGATCTGGCTCTTCTATCACAAACGCAAGAACAAATGCAGGAGAAAACGACTAGTGTAGCGGCAGCCTCAGCAGCAGTAGGTCTCAATATAAACAAAGGGAAACGCAAGACTCTCCGATACAATACAATATGCACCAATCAAATTACACTTGACGGAGAAGCTTTGGAGGATGTGGAAACCTTTACATATCTGAGCAGCATCATTGATGAACACGGTGGATCAGATGCAGATGTGAGGGCGAGGATCGGCAAAGCAAGAGCAGCATACCTACAGCTGAAAAACATCTGTGGCTCAAAACAGTTGTCAACCAACACCAAGGTTAGAATTTTCAATAGAAATGTCAAGACAGTTCTACTGTATGGGGCGGAGACGTGGAGAACTACGAAAGCCATTATCCAGAAGATACAAGTGTTTATTAACAGCTGTCTACGCAAGATACTTCGGGTCCGATGGCTAGACACTATCAGCAACAAGTTACTGTGGGAGACAACAAATCAGATTCCAGCGGAGGAAGAAATCAGGAAGAAGCGCTGGAAGTGGATTGGGCACACTTTGAGGAAATCACCCGATTGCGTCACAAGATAAGCTCTCACATGGAATCCTGAAGGTCAAAGGAGAAGAGGAAGACCAAAGAACACATTACGCCGAGAAATAGAGACAGACATGAGAAGAATGAACAAGAACTGGATAGAACCAGAAAGGAAGGCCCAGGACAGAGTGGGTTGGAGAATGCTGGTCGGCGGCCTATGCTCCATTGGGAGTAACAGGCGAAAGTAAGTAAGTATTTCTAATACCAGGCTATTTGTAGCATTATTTAAGACCTAAATCTTCATACAATATAAATCGCACATCATTGATCTGCTACCTTTTTTGCAAAGGGATATAATACTCTTGCGACAAGCCTAAAGACCTGTAAGAATGTGGGACATATGCCATATGGAGGCTGAATTATGATGTACTAGACACTGCTGCTGTCACCGAGGGCTTTAATACATTGTGTCTTAGCTCGCGTTCATTGCTATATATGGGATGGAAGGAATTAGTTAAATCTCAAGTTCAAGTCATGCAGCTAGGTTGTGGTATTTGTGTGAACTAAAGATTCATTTGTACTTGATTGTTCACAGATTATGAATTCCAAATACAATACGTTACTTTGTGTTCAACTAGTTCTGTGTGGCTTCAATTGCACTGTTTCGAGAATTCCTAGCTAGTAAATTGGTTCGAAGACTTCTGACCATCTCATAGCTCCAAAGTATCCATTGTATTATGTGTGTTTTCCTTGACGTGAAGAGGTCCTCCAAGTCTAACAAACTACCAGAAGGAAGAGAAAAAGCGAGAGTAGACAACATTCTATAACTATAGTCTTCATTTAGAACGCGACGATGACGTATTCCAAAACGTGAATTTGCAATTCGGTTCATCCTAGGAATTTCTTATTATGTTTAAAACGGATTCGCAATCGCCTTGCTTATAATTCTTGCCTAAAAGTTAGTTTTTTGAGAAATGATGTCGTTAACCAAATGAATTGTCAAATGCTGCGATCAAAGAAACAGAAAACAAGGCGTGGTAGGAACCGATGTATTCGAACTCACGAGTATTAAGTTTGTATTATCGTTAAGGGAAACAAGCATGGTACGATTGATTGACATATACATGACGTCGAATATCGTCGAATACAGAAGCGTGTACAATGTCACAAAGACAAGGAAAAATCACAATTTCGTTTGCTCGTGTAAAATGCCTGATTTTCTGTTATTGCAATTTTCGACATCAATGTTAACTAGTTTAATAACAGATAGTACGACAGCTACGCTGACCTTGAGCGAAATAATATATATTGGACATTGTTCGTGGATTCTTAATATCTCTTTTGGTTTGGATGAACTCTTCTGTCCTTGATAACGGCAATCATTCAAACCCTCAGATCCACGACATGTCTAGTAACATGATAAAAGCTGACTGTGTTGTGGTAAGCATGGTCTTTTTACTAATCCCTTCAGATAGGAGACAGCTTCCGAGGATTTCCCACGGAGTATTTCTGCACATCTCCTCGGTATGACGAATGCTTGGATTATGTTCTCATACCAAATGGTATGATAAAAGATAGGTAGATCATAAATTCAAGATAAGTATTTCAAAGGCTTGAAAAAATGTCAATGGATATTGTTGACTATTACGAGGCCTGTAATGCGACATCGATCACACTAATGTGTGTCCTCAAAGGTGGATTTAAATTCCTTGCTGATCTTGTTGATGGGCTTGAACGCACTGTCCGTGCTCGAGGTATCGTCCTACCAATGTCCGTCGAGTTTGTTCGTGTCAAGAGTTATGTTGTACGTTAATAAATAAAACATAATTTATTTGATATTCACCAGAATGATGTCAGTGTTCATGAACCTATATTAACTGGTTTAGGAGATCCTTCGGAATACAAAGACAAGGTATTTTCCAACCTAATGATAATTTTTGTAAGAATGTTCTTGTGGTCGAAGATATAATTGACACAGGAAAAACAATAACGAAACTCATAAGTCATTTGGATAGTTTGTCTACGAAAAGTGTTAAAGTCGCAAGGTATGTGTTGTAATATTTCCATCTTTCCAGTCTTATGATATCACAGTCGTCCCTCTATGTATCGTACTGTTTACTTTTTTTAAACTTGAAATCGTGGTTCGAAATCTTTAGCATTTTCGATCCACTTGGGTAACATATTGACTTGGTAGTTAGTATAATCAGCGTTTGTACCATTTCTATAAACTATGAAACCTCGTAATCCAGTGTTCAGTTACTTTATTACTCGGGACATTAAAATGTTGGATATAAAAAAATTGTCAGATCTATCTTTCCTGCTATCCTGACCTCATAATGCATTATTGTTTACGTTAGGTAGTAGCTCGAAAACGTTCGTCTTATTTTGTAGTCTCAGTGTTGATAAAATATGACATCTTGTGTATTCATGTAGAATGTCTCTATTTCTTAAGTGTTTCGATATTATTTACTGCACTTCGTAAAATCAACCTCATCCTCTTTTGAGTTCACCATATGTTTGAACTTTATCTGATATTCGATACTTTAAGCTAAATTACTTTGTGATTAGAGAAGAACTAAATTACTGTGAGTCACATTACCTGAAGCTTGTGCATGTGATCTCGTTCAGAAGTTCGATAAAAGCACGATCAAACCATCCAGCTCGGAGAAAAAAACCACCGAAGTTTGCTGAATTTATCAGAAGTAAGAATTACATGATAATTAGTATGGGAACAGAGAATAAATTTCACTAACTTTTATAAAATTTTTAAAAATCAGTGTTTTTATCAAATCTTCCATCATGAGATTTCCGAAATCTGTTTTCTTTAGCCTCCTCGTCAAGCGAACATCAACCAGGGATAAATATCGACCAGACTGTAAGTAAATGTTTGTGACTTTTTAGGTTTGGTTTTTTGGTTTAAGCAAAATCATTCAATCTATGTTAACATACAGACGTAGTGGGAATATTTCAATTGGCCGTAGTTGTATAATATGTATTATCACTCATGTTTGTGAATTGCATCACCCACTGTTAATATTTATTTACTGAGTCAACCAAGTAACCCGTACAGTAAGTTTGTTACTCAACGCAAACAGGAAAAGCTACCATGTATTATAAAAAAGCTATTTAGCTCTAATCTACTAAATTTGAATACAGATATTAGAAAAGTGAAGAAAATGACCCGTCATTAATAACTATTTTGAGCCGACTCAATATGCTTGTCTGGACATTTAAGCCACTGTGTCTGTCTGTCTGTCACCATAGACATTTCGAGCATGTTTGATGACTTGGTCACGAATTAGATTATATTTTTAAAAAAATGATGTCATTAGGTACTTAATTGAAAGCCATAAATTGAAAAAACCTGGCGAAGTTCTATGATCTTTACTGTCCTTCAATGAAGATTAACCAAAATGTAGTTGAATATATGCCTACTCTATGTCTTCGAGTTCATTAAGTCAGTCAGCTACAGCGTATGACTAGGCACATATGTGCGTCGGTCCGCGTTGTCACACCTCATTAGCACAACAAGATGAACACCAAATACATAGAAGTAGTTACTTCAATAATAGTAATATATAAAAGAAAGGTTTCATATAAGTATATGATACATGGAAGAAGAATTAGTTGGTAGAAAGAAAGATATGAAGCAATTTTAATCTCACCGTTTAAGGGGAGACAAAGAGTGTAAACACCCACACCATTATAATCGGTTCTGAGCCATGTCATCCAGAGTCTCCAACCATTGGTTACTATAGTCGCGCGGACCCCAACCGAGTAGTCTGTATCTACCAACATGGCTCAGACTAGAGGTTAGTGACTTCAAGCACTGATGCCATGTTTTGGTTTGGCCACCCCTAAATTTCTTCCAACCATCCCCAATAATAGTCAGCATTGCACGTATTGGTGATCGGTGTTCAGGCATACGTAACACGTGGCCCAACCATCTCAGTAGGTGAATATTTACGACCTCATCAACGGACTTATTCATCATTACAGGCAAGCCCGACCACCACGTCAAGGTAGCAGCAACGGTCGGGAGTTCATTAATTTTTAATGAAAAGAGTTCATTAAGGCTGTTCGTTTAATCGTCACCGGGATGTAGATTAGTAGATTTTTACTGATGAAAGCAATCAACCTTTACTCAGTAAGTTACAGATTTGAAAACAATTTTACTTATTTAGATATGCATTTAACACTAGCTCTCACAAAAAATCAAATGTGACCTAAAACATTACCCCCAAATGCCCTGGTACGGTGGAGAGTGGGGAGAGTACGCTCTCCTTCTGCAAATGCTCTCACATGGCCACGCGTATATAGTCTCTGCCAGGGAAGTCCTACTCACTGCCTTCTCGTAGCATTACTGTTGTTTACGAAATTGAGGGGACGAAAAGCGAATGTGTGCCGATTTACCGGGGTTGGTGGACACGGAAAGTCCACCCTCATTCCAAACCAATGGTGCACATGGGCTAACTCCAGTATCCTGAGGGGAAAATGGCGTATGAATCAATCGTTGGTCACCGGCTACCATGAGACTGCATCTCCTTACGATGCTTCACTTCCTTGTGGGTTAGATCTTAAGGTCCAAGGCTCGGGGTGTGGTCCCCTAAGAAAACCACCTGTTTCGCTTTGGGCACCTGTGCAGTATCACAGCCCTCACACAAATCAAATGAGATTTGTGAGGCGCATATGTATTCGGTGCCTTTTTGTATCAATATTTATGTGTTCAAATAAATAAATAAATAAAACAGATTCCATGGATTTGCGTCGCAAACACTCGAACTGAATATAACCCCAGATAATGCTTCGATATCTGAAAATAATGAGATAGAATATACTTAAACTGTATGTACTTTGTAAGTGTCTTATAAAGGCAACTGGATTTGTTGCCAGTTTATCAACGTAATAAGTTGATTTTCGTAACTGTTTAAGTTTTACAAACTGGGCTTGTATTCAATTCAAGGATCTTAGTAAAATTGACTTTTAGGGTTTATGAGAAACATGAACCTTTTGACTTTAGTTAAAAAGGATTTACACCCGTATTAGATGATTGTGGATCCTCAAAGCATTGTCCAACCCTTGGTATTTTACATTTTACTATTTCTTAGTGAGATTCTTATCAGTCCGATATTATCATTTTAAATGCCTTTACTTTTCATCATGCTTATTCTTTGAACCAACAAGTTCAGAGGACGAATATCCACTGGAATTATTCTTTGCTCCATATTCGTGTAGATTTAGAAGTTTCTATAGGAAAGCATGAAATTATATATATTTTTTCTTATTTTTGTTCCATTTTTTCTTTCCTGTTTGATCCTTAGTTGTTGGTTTTGAAGTTCCAAATCGATTTGTTGTTGGCTATGCTTTAGACTATAATGATAATTTCCGTGACCTGCACGTGAGTTACCGTCTGCTACATCAACTTATAGAAGTTTGCTTATTTATTTTGCTGAATACTCTTGTGTGAAACTATGAATAAAATTTCACATGAGTTTATGTAATGAGTATTTACAAATTGGTTCATAGGCATGTATACAACTAGTTAGTGGAATATCTCATTCATTGTTTTACGACACACTTTGCGTCTTAAAGCTTAGTCACCTGTTTCTGAAATATATTTGCTACAAATAAACAAAACGGATGACCTGTGGTTTATTTACTGCTGCGGTACGGCACACCTTTTTGTAAATATTTGCTGTTTGGAAACTTTCTAAAGTCATTTGTCCAACTAATACTAGATTTTAGTCTTGAAATTTTTACTGTCCTTAACCACCATTATACGTTAGTTCAGACTCATTACTTTCAGCAGACGGTATACACTAGTGTATCTCATGAAGGTTTTGTATATCCAGATTGTGTTAAGTAGTCCATTCTCACTGACGAGAAATTCCCAAGTCATAAACAGAGAACTATCATCTCTGACCAGCAAATCACCAAATCCACGAATAGCATGTTTATTCCCAGCAATACTCAAAATAGGAACTTTAGTATATCTAATAACTGGATTCAACAACTTTGAAGTTTTGACTAAAGTAGTATTGACAATGAAATCGTGAAAGAAGTCACTAAACAAATATGATTGGTTCTTCATTGTGAAATAAGTCTTTAGGTTTTGGAAAGGGAGAAAACGTCTGTTTATTATTGCACACGATGAAATAAGTAGTACAACACAGACTTTATGTGACCAGTCTTGTCATAATTGAAGCATTGAGAGATATTTACCGACCTTGTACTCAGTTTGGTATACTACTTTAAAATTCCCTCTTGAATTGTTGCTTGTAGTATCACGAGTGAACATCATCACCAAACGCAAATGTATCCAACCTCGAAAATACTATGGATTAGAATAACTAAAAGATCATCGTTGATTGCAACTCTCATTCATTCACCGCCTCGTAGTTAATACATGCATCTCAAACCTCCTGAAATGAGTGTTTAAGTATTTTTATTAGTTCTCTTTCGAGATTCAATATGTTTACTTCAGCAGTGATTCCATCGGGCGATCGAATATCCACTTGTTCTTCAAAACTGGATCTTGTGAGCTTTTTTAAAGTTCGGGTTTGAGACCTCTAACTATCTAATCATTTTGGAAAACCATTTCGTGGCGTCTTGGCATCTAAGGTTTTTTCTTCACACGACTGAATAATACGTTCTTATAGAAATTCCATGCCATAAGGAAATAGGTTTATCGTAATAAGCTAGGTTTTTCAACAGGCTATAGACATTGTTCACCGATCAATGTAGGGAAATAAACTGCAATTTCACCATGTTGGATGCCATTCTCGTCACGCTTTAAATTTCGAATAGTTCTATTTAATCTCTAATCACTTCCCCACTTGAATTAATGTCCAGTAAGTGTCTTTATTGTGAAACCAGTTCTGATAATTGGTATTATTGAATGTAAAGTACACACTAGCAATTCCCAAACCTGTGCGATGATATTGTACTGTAATTAAAACAATGCGCATAACAACGTACAAAGCCTTTGCCATTTCATGCAAACACTACAGCAGATACAATACAGAATTAGCTTACATTAATTAGCATTTTGTATTTTAGGCGTTAATCGTAACTTATCTTTTCAGAGAACCACAGGGAACTGTGCACTTGTAATTGAGCCAAGAGATTTTTCCCGACCGTCCTCATTGTCATCAAATTCATCGGAAATTCACGTATAAAACTGGTCTTTGCCACCAAAGCACATATGTGCATAGATAAATGCAGTAACCTAAAATTAACATTATAGATTTTTGATCAGAAAGAGTTTTGTGGAGATTTCAGTATTTTCATAGTTGAAATCATAAGTCAATTGAAGCTAGACCACCATGGAAAACCTGGAAGCACTGGACGACCGTTTCATTCTATTGTGGGTCTCCTCAGCAGTGTACATCCACGATGCCGCCTAGTGAGCAAGATTCGAACCAATGACCTACCAGTCTCGCGCGCGAGCACTTAACCGATAGATCACTGATCCGGTCTAGCTTCAATTGACTCATGATTTCAACTATGAAAAATACTGAAATCTCCACAAAAAACCCTTTCTGATTATAATCATATGCTCACTAGTGACTGACTTCAAGAGATATGTCCTGGAGTTCTAGTGAGAAGCATTGACCAGTGGAGTTCAACCATGTCTGTTGTGAGATAACAATTCACTGAAGACAATTGGTAAACGGTTGCTCAAACTTCGTGAATTGGTTGAAGTTAGACATTAACACCGTTGGATGCCGGCCGGCTCAGTGGTGTATCGGTTAAGTGCTCTGATGCGAGACTGATAGGTCCTGGGTTCGAATCTCGCTCGCTAGACGGGATCGTGGATGCGTACTGCTGAGGAGTCCCATAATAGGATGAAACAGCCGTCCAGTGCTCCCAGGTTTTCCCTGGTGGTCTAGCCTCATTTGACTCATGATTTCAACTATGATTATAGGTTCTTGTTTAGGACTTTACTATAGTTTCTAAATTCTGTTTACATACAGCTTAGGTAAAGTGTTGTTGAAGTAATTTTGTTCGAAAATTGTTGATTTATTTATGCTGAATTACCTCTTCTTCTTTTTTTCTCACATTATTCAGCATATTTGCGTGATTAATGAAGTGGGTCAAAAAAAATTCTCTGTACCTTGTACATCAAAACCTGTTTAAATGTTTTTTAGTTGAGATAATAACAATAAACAATAACACTTTGTTGTTCTCTCCCAACTTCTATACTTTTGTTATCCTATCTATACTGTCTATACTATGCTATCTATCGTATCTATATACTATACTATCGTTAGTCTATACTTGTATAATCAACACATATCTCCATGAGATATGTATTATTATCAACGAAACTGATTTCTCCATATCTATATATATTCTTAACTTATTTCTTTTTTTATATTTTATTTCTAAGATCATATTTGGCACACAATTGTTTGTTTTCTCTTTTTTTTGTTTTGATCCTCTCATTTCCGTTGATCAATTGGTTAATCAATTTAATTGATTATTATTACACTTCTTACACTTCCTTCCCCCCCTCAACTTCTATCATCAAAATAAAATGTTTCTTCATAAGAGAGATTCTAATGTTGTTTGATTGATCAAAATAAGAACAAAAAACAGTTTTCAGTAATGATCATTAATTTCTAGTGTTATTTATTATTTATTAAAAATATTTTTTTAGTATTATGGTTATTAATAAAACTAAAATCGAATGTAAAATTGTTTTCATTCTGTATGCGTTTTATAGGATTCTTTTGATAGGATTAAGGTTAGTTTATTTAAATGTAATAATAAGCTTGCCCTGATACGTTTGAGAGTGGGGAGAGTCAGCTCTCACTTGGTCACGCGTATATAGCCTCTGCCAGGGAAGTCCTATTCATTGCTTTTCTCGTGGCATTACTATTGTTTACGAAATTGAGAGGACGAAAACTGAATGTCCGGCACTTTAACCGGGTCAGTGGACACGGAAAGTTCACCTAGAGCAGTTGGGATACCCTCATTCCAAACCAATGGTGCTCATGGGCTGGCTCCAGTAACCTGAAGGAACAAATGGCGTATGAATCAATCGTTGGTCACCAGCTAACATGGGACTGCATCTCCTCACGATACTTCAATGCCTTTTGGATCAGATCTTTAAGTCAAAGGTTTGGGTTGTGGCCCCCTAAGAAAACCACCTGCCTCAGTTTGTGCACCTGTGCAGCATCACAACCCTCACACAAATCGAATGAGATTTTTGTGGCGTATATATATCTGGTTCCCCTATGTACCAATATTTATGTTTAAATAAGCTAATAAAATAAGCTTGCCTATCAGATTTAAGCTAAATCAGTTTTTTCGTTTTGTGATGATGGGTCATTGTACAGGCTGGTTTTTGGCTGTCTATATAGAATCTATATCATAATGTTATACGCTTTAAGCATAATGATTCCGCTTAATGAAGAGGCGTCATGTTCGATAGCTGGGTAAGTCAAACTAACAGTGCATACAATGTCAATAATAATCACAGTCAAACACTGAAAATTGAGATTATGCGTAATAAAACTATTGATAAATAAACTAATTCAACTGTCATAAAGGGGTCTTGTGGAGATTTTAGTAATTTTATATGGTTAATATCATAAGTCAATTGAAGCTAGACCACCATGGAAAACTTGAAAGGCCTTTTCGTCCTATTGTGTGATTCTCCAACAGTGGCTATCCACGATCCCGCCTTGCAGTATTGGAACCCAGGACCTATCAGTCTCGTGCCCGAGAGCGTAACCGATAGTGGAGCTAATCCATGTCAAATAGAGACAGGTTCAAATGGTTGAGGACGGAATAGAAGAAGCTTTCGCTTAACGGGCTTCCGTGTCTAGTAGCAGTGGATCACCAATACCTCCAGGCGAAAACCTAGGTATATTAACGATAATAGAGGAAAAAAAGAATTTGGTAAATCATAATAATATGTTATCTTTAGTCCTTAAAAATAAGTCAAGTTTCCCCTTAAAGGACTCCTGGGAGGTCGCTTGGACTAGCTCAGTCGGCAGGGATTCCAGCATTTGACAACTCTTACGGAGTAGAAGTTGTGTCTGCAGTTTGTTCTGCTATGTAGGGTCTCCAATTTCTGGGTGTTACCTCTTAGGTTAGTGTTATGACTAAGCTTAAGAAGATGTTTAAGGGGATGACCAGAAGTATTAAGCATAATTTAAGTCATAAGAAGGTCACCTGTGAGACGCCTGTACTCTAACGGGTAAAGGTTAAGTGATTGGAGGCGCTCTTCGTAAGGTTTGAATTTGAGTACCTCAGTACAATGGGAGCCGGTCGCGCAATTTCGTGGATTGGTTCAGGTTAGGCATTAACGCCGCTGGATGCCGGCCAGCTCAGTGGTCTATCGGTTAAATGCTCGCGCGCGAGACCGGTAGGTTCTGGGTTTGAATCTCGCGAGTCGGGATAATGGAAGCGCACTGCTGAGGGGTCCCACAATAGAACGAAACGGCCTTCCAGGTTTTCCATGGTGGTCTAGCTTCAATTGACTCATGATCTTAACTATATATAATTCAACAACAATAGCTTTCTAGTAAATACTACCTACTATTCAGCAGTAGAACAAGCTGTTTTCTATTCCAAATTGAATATTTTCATATAACTGTGTTTTAACATGGTGATCACTACTTTTGGAAGCAATGACGATGATATAATCAAGCTTATTGAGTCTCAAACAAACTGGTGAATTCATTATAAATTGATCTATTTGTGAATAACAGTATTTTGTCAAACTAAAATGTAATTTATAAGCAAAGATGGATGGTGGCTAGCAGTGGAATCCAGTACACGCCTTTCATCTTACGTGAGACTCATCAGCTTGCTGTACCTGCATTCCAGATTTGATGTTCACTCTGGGACTCGAATCTAGTGCCATTCGCTTCAAACGCCTTTGCGTTATCCACTTAGCTACTGAGTCCTGATACTGGGTTCGAGACCCGGAGTGAACATCAACTCTGGGATGCAGGTACAGTCAGCTGATGAGTCTCGACTAGGACGAAACGCGCGTTCTAGATTCTATAGCTAGTCACCATCCATCTTTGCTTATAAAGCTTGTGACTTCAGGCAATATCGAAGCAATCCGCACAGGATGCACATATGCCAACAAGAGACTGATCAATTGCAGTCCTCAAACAACAATGAGAAGATATATGATCAAACAATACTATGTGAATTTAAAATGTAATTAATTATTGTGTGTGTGTGTCCAACGCTTATGATCAAGTTTATATTTTCATATTATATAACTGAGAGAAAGAGAAAATCGAGCGATCATTCCATCTATGGTGACTAAGAAGTTGTCATGTAAAAAAAAGAATCTTTTCAAATACATGTAATAAGTAATGCATTCTCAATGGTACAGTCATATAGTTTCGGCTCTAGTCCATTTGTTTGTTTGCATATGTAAACATGTAATAATAACTCTGTATTATTATTACAATTACCAACAAAAAAAACTATTTTTATCTCATGGGTTACATTGTGTTTTAATGAAACGTTTTGATTTTATTTGGCATTTGAATTATCACCGCACGAAAATAAAAATGTCTGGTCATATGGTTTTTTGTTGTTTGGCTTTGTTTTAAAGAATTTTAATCACATGACTAAAATAATTCAATTTTAATCATGATTGATATCACATTCATGGTATGTGTTACCATCGTAATTAAATATTCTTCTTTTTAAGTGCTTACACTGTAACATTACCATCATAGAAAGATAAAAACAATGAATATGATCAATGATTTTTCCGTTCAATTTAATTTTTGAGGTGAATTTGAATTTTTTTTGTTTATATAAGTTATGATTTATATAAAGTAGGTCAAATCGGTTATATCCAAGTGAGGATATGAGTACGGGGAAACTCCCAGGATCTATTAATGGACTATGATCGGTTTCATGAGTTATAGGCAGTAACAAATAAATTAACCAAATGGTTACATTGACTGTAACATTAAAAAACTAACTTTATAATACACATGTACCCAAGTACACGAGTGTAAATACAATGATAACAATGATAGACCAAAACGGCCATCCAGTGCTTCCAGGTTTTCAATAATTGTCTAGCTTAGATTGACTTATGAATTCAACTGTGAAAATGTTTAAATGAAAGAAAAAAAATGACGGTTAATAGATGAAAAGTACTGATATCAAGGGGATGATTGCTTATGAAATTAGCGTAAACCGTTGAATAATTTGAAATCAAAGACAAGGTCACTAACATGTTTATGTACATGATATCAATAAAATAATAAACATAATGAACTGAAAGGAAATTAATTTTATGGGTCATTAAGACCCTCTTATTATATTAGATCTAAAGGTTTTCTAACTTGATACAGTATAGGGTGAATACTACAATCACCAGATGAATAACATATAAGAAAGAAACAACTATCAAAAGATCTCTGATTTGTTCTAAAAATATAATTCATACCTATAAATCATCAACACATAGAAGTACTTAATAGAATTGTATGGGAAGGGGATTTTGTGGAGATTTCTAGTAATTTTATATAGTTGAAATCATGAGTCAATTGAAGCCAGACCATCATGAAAATCCTAGAAGTACTGGAAGGCCGTTTCGTCCTATTAGGGAACTCCTCATCAGTGCGCATTCACGATCCCGCCTAGTGAGCGAGATTCCAACCCAGGCCCAATCAGTCTCGCGCGCGAGCAATTAACCGACAGACCACTGAGCCAGCCGGCATCCAACGGTTCAGTGCTTCCAGGTTTTCCATGGTGGTCTAGCTTCAATTGACACATGATTTTAACTATATTGTTTATCGTTCCGATGATAAAATTGTTTATATTGAATTTGGGCAATGGAATTTCTAAAAGAATTCATGGAAGGAAATATAAAGACAGTTTCACTAGATCTATTAGTTTATAATTGTCTTATCTTTAAGTATTGGTCAGTATGATGTTTATCAAGCTTTTTAGTATTGATTGTATTCTCCCTATCAAATTGCAATCTGACTAGTATTGTAAGTGACTTAACGTCGTATGTACAATGTTGAAATGTTGGGTGGTTAGAAGTAGTCAGCAGGAATCCCTGGACATAAATTAAGTACTGCTTGGCACTCATCAGCAAGATGTAACCATAATCTTGAAAGAACTGATCCTCCTTGATG